ATCCCCCTTCTGTTCTGAAATTTGATTTGTCCTTTTCATATGTGTTCATTTTTTAAATTGTATCCTTTGGTATATATGGTTGTGACTATTTCCTTCCACTATTTGATCTGAGGAAGTGGGTCTGGCCCACGAAAGCTCATCACCTAATAAACCACCTTGTTAGTCTTTAAAGTGCTACAACTTTTTGTTTTCCCAAAATCTCCATCACCCTTAGTCCAAAAGATTAGATCGAGCGTATGACCTGCCAATTATGTGGGGACAGTTATTTCTTGGGATAGTCCTAAGGTCATCATGGTGATCATAAAGTCTCAAGCCGGACCAGACAGGACAGCCTCAATGTAAACTTTAAAGTCCCCCAAGGCCAGAAGCCTGGGGGTCCTCAACACCACATCTGAGACCACTTTGGCCAGCTCAAGCAGAGTATCTGCCGTGCAACAAGGCGGGTGGTAACAAGCAGAACACCCGACTTGTCCTGGCCACCCAACCCCAGGTACAGACACTCAAATCTAGCGCTTCGTTGGACCAGGGCCCTGGCTAGAGAGAATTTAATTAACTTGAGAACTTAAGCACTTGTTTACCCCAATTTATGTGGATTAAGAGCTCTGTGGACACTGCAGGTGCTAAGCAAAAAGCGCTGGTAATTATGCAGACCCCCTTCGTCATGAGGCAAGCTACAGACTGTACACAGGAATCACACACAGGAATCACTTCTTCCCACACTGAAATGCAGCCAACTCTGGGGTGGGACCCAGCAGCTACTGAACAGCACACAGCAACATTTCATGACATATTGGGACCATTCCAGGAACATTTCAAAGAGAATTTCAGGGAGCCAGGATGCTATTTCTTAACTGGAATTTGGCCAGAACAATCGGCTTACTCTCCGTTTGTGTGAGTGTCCCTAGAATCTTTAGGCTAAGCGTGGTCCCCATCGGTAAGCATTTGTGGACACCTGGGCTCCGGCAGCAAGGCAGAGCTCAGAGAGCAAACCAGGCACAGCCAGGCCTAGGAGTACCCTGCTGCCAGGCCTGCGCACCACCCACTAGGCCGTGCTGCCTCTGCAGATGGTCAGGAGGAAAATCCAGTCTCTCCCAGCGCTGAAAGAGGCCCTTTGGCATGTGGACCCAGGGGGCAGGAGGCCCCACCTGCTCACCTTCTCCAGATGACGGAGACCCACTGAAGGAATAGACCAGCCCTTCCCCTGAATGTGATCGTGAGACCACCAGGAACAAACCTTGTTGAGCTCTTCCTGGTTCCCGAAGAGTGGGTGGTAGCGCCGATACTTGCCCTCCTTGTACTTGGCAACGAGGAAGCGCCGCCGTTCCTGGCTCCCGCTCGCCGGGTGGATGGCCTCGCTGGGGGGCACGTTGGCTGCCCAGAACTGTTTGGCCACCCCGTTGCCAACCTGGCAGAAGAGCTGGGGAGGCAAAACAGAAGCGGCAGCGTGAAGGCTGGCATCTCTGCGCGTGCGCCACGGCCTCCCTGTTGCCCTTCCGCCAGACCCCCCTGGGCTGCCTGACAAATTGCGGGGCGTGTGCCCAGCACAGCGCTGGGCGTGTTCAAAGGGAGCAAACAGCCCAAACCTGCCTGTTATAACGCACAGGAGATGGCGGGCTTGCGATCGCTGCCGAGCGCCCAAAGGCACGTTCACAGAAAGCCCTGCCCTGCATCTCTGGGAAGCATCCCCTCTCCAGGCGTGGTAGCCTAGCTGGTCTGAGCCATGTGCTTGGGGGAGCAGTGTTCTCTGGGCAGCCACCTTAGTGAGATTCAGGTCCTGCCCAGCTGATCCGCACAGCGCCCACAGCTGGCAGCATGTGTTTCTACTGGTGGTGCACATCGGCACATGCCTTGATGTGCGTAATAAAATTTATTCTGCATGTGGATGGAAAAAATTAGAGGGAACAATTGATGGGGAGTGGGCACCTGGACCACTAGGACTCGCCTCCACCCACTCCACCAAAATGGGCTCCCCCGCAAGGCACGTGCAAAGCCCATGTGTTCACAGAGACATTTGAGTGGGGAAGGCAGAGCTACTGGTGTGATCTGAACAAAGAGACTGACAGACAGGTTAATTCCAGGAAGTCCTATGGCCGGTGTTATTCAGATCAGACATCGTGATCGCAATGGTCCCTGCTGGCTCTGACGTACCAACCTATGACTCTGAGCATGGAGATCAGAGCCCACGGTGATGGGCACCAATAGAAGAACCAGGAGTGGGGGGAAGAGAGAGAGCTGGGAATTTAATTCCCCAGAATTCATGTGGGCGCATTTGTTGTTCACCTGTGAAACTGCCCGTTGCACAGGCGTGAAAGGGCGGGTCCCTGCAAACTAGGGATGTAAGCGACTAGTCAACTAGTGAGTCGCATAGTCGTTCCCCCTCCGCCCCACTTGCTGCCTCTATCAGAGAGAGGTAGAAAGGGGGGGGGGGAGGCAATGCTGGGGGGAGCTGGCTTAAAAGCTGATTCCCCCCAGCACCATCTCCGCAGAGGGGCAGGGGAGGCAGAGGTGTAGTGGGGGACCAGACGTGAGCCGGGACAGCCAATTCCTGGCTTGCGCCCAGTCCCCCTTGCTGTGCTTTCGCTTGTGGCTCTTAATACGTTTAAAAGGCTGGGCCGCAGCGGGGTTACGATCTCCCACAGTATTCTTGCCAGCAAGTTAAGGAAGTATGGATTGGATAACGGGACGGTAAGGTTGTGACGGGGCATCGCCAGGCTTGCTGGGCTGAGAAGGCCCCGCCCCTCCAGCCCTACTGGGCATGCTCCAACTGCAGACCCAGTATAAAGGCCAGAGGAGCAGCTCAGTGGGGGCTGACTACTAGGGGGCAAGGGACTCCGTGTAAATAGCTCCCTTTTGTTTTGGAAACGTCGCTTGGGGATTTTGTGCCGCTGGGGCTAGGTTTCGACTGCAGGCTTCTTTGGGAGAAGAGAGCATCCGAAAAAACGTCTTCCAGAAGAGAGCGTCTACACAGCCAAAGCGCATCGGAAAAGCTCTGTCGCACGTCAGCTGTGATGGTTATGGAGGGAGTGGCCACCAGAGCACCCGGGCTTTTTCCTCCTTCCTCTTCTTCCGATGATTCCCCTTTATTCGGCTCTGGGGAGGCCACATCTGGAGTGTTGTGTCCAGTTCTGGGCCCTCCCGCCCACTACAGAAAGGATGTGGACGCATTGGAGAGGGTCCAGCGGAGGGCAATCAAAATGATTCAGGGGCTGGAGCGCATGACCTACGAGGAGAGACCGAGGGATTTGGGTTTATTTAATCTGCAGAAGTGAAGAGCGAGGGGGGATTTGGGAGCAGCCTTCAACTTCCTGAAGGGGGTTCCAAAGAGGATGGAGAGAGGCTGTTCTCAGCAGTGACGGATGGCAGAACAAGGAGCAATGGTCTCAAGCTGTAGTGGGGGAGGTCTAGGTTGGCTATTAGGAAAAGCTATTTCCCCAGCAGGGTGGGGAAGCACTGGGACAGGTTCCCTAGAGAGAGGGTGGAATCTCCACCCCGAGAGGTTTTTAAGTCCCAGCTTGACAAAGCCCTGGCTGGGATGACTGAGTTGGGGTTGGTCCTGCCCTAGGATTCTGAGCCAACCCTGCTGCGGCTCTGCAGTTTTCCCCTTATCAACTAATTAACTAGTTGATTAGCTGATTAAATGCCATTTAACTCCCTACTGCAGACAGACATGGAAACCAGCTAACCCTCAGCCTTCTTCTAGTTCATCTCCACCCCCTCAGCCAGGCTGGGATTGTGCCCTGCAGAACACTCCCCCAAGGGCCCTGGCTGGCCTAAACGCACCTCTTCCCTGGCACCCATTGCGGAGAACTCTGCTCAGCCGCTAAGCCTGTTCTCTGGCAGCCCTCGCTGTCCAGGGCTGCCAAGCCCCCCGCTCCCCTTCCTGCCGCAGAAATACATCTGCAGAGCCAAGCGCGGGCCTGTCGGCTCCAGCTGCAGGTTACAAAAAGGACACCATTGTTTTAATGCGATTGTTCCTCACTTTCATGTGCAGTAGCCTCTGCGCTTTGAGAGTCGCATTTCCTTACTGATGTTCTTCCTCCTGCACTGGCTTGTTATTGTAGGGTCGCTTGCATGAGCTGCGCTGAGCACACTGGTTTGTTTTTGTAGGGTTGCTCACAAGACCTGGACTGTGCACAGTGGTTTGTTATTGTAGGGTTGCCACGGCCAGGGCTGCACATGCTGGTTGTTTATTGTAGGGTTGCTCGCAAGTCCAGGGTTGTGCACACTGGTTTGTTATCGTAGGGTTGCTCACCAGCCCAGGGCTGCGTGTGCTGGTTTGTTATTGTAGGGTTGCTCAGCAGCCCAGAGCTGTGTGTGCTGATTTGTTATTGTAGGGTTGCTCATGAATGCAAGCCAAGGGCCCTGCTTTTACTGTTGGTACAGAACACCTGGAAGAAGAAAGGCGCAGTTCCCAGGAGGGATGCCGTTGGCGTGTCTCTTCCCGTCTGCATTCTCTCCTGGAGTTAATGGGTACACGGCCTTACACTGTCCTAGGCACCAAACAGCTGCCGGACTTCCCAGCAAGCAGAGCCCTTTGTAATCCAAAGGGGTAGTGCACCGCAAACACCATCATCGCACGGCTGCGCCCCACAAGTGAGAGCAGGTCTCCAAGCGGGGAGAGGCAGGGGCTAGAAGGCGGGGAGAGGCTGTAAGAAGGAACGGACAGTCCTGGGGGCCTGGTCTCTCCCCGCAGGGGGAAGGAGGTGGGAGGTACCGGGGCGGGGGGGCTGTTGGGAGATCTAGGAGAACATCCCTGATTTGCCGGGTGGACACGGGCCAAGCTGCTAGCAGTTCTGGCCACCCTGGTAGCGGATAATCTCCCAGCATGCTGTGCTCTGCGTCCCGATCCCATTGTCCCGGAGAAGGGCGGGGAAGGCTGAGTCCTTGTCTGGGGTTGCTCCGTGGTGAAGGGCCCGGAGTCTGATCAGCTGGCGAGGAGGAGCAGCTTGCATGGCGGGGGGGAAAGAGGGCACGGGCCAAGCTGCTAGCAGTTCTGGCCACCCTGGTAGCGGATAATCTCCCAGCATGCTGTGCTCTGCGTCCCGATCCCATTGTCCCGGAGAAGGGCGGGGAAGGCTGAGTCCTTGTCTGGGGTTGCTCCGTGGTGAAGGGCCCGGAGTCTGATCAGCTGGCGAGGAGGAGCAGCTTGCATGGCGGGGGGGAAAGAGGGCCAGGCTCCAGCACAGGGTATAGAGCAGGGAGTACCGGGATCCAGCACAGGGTATAGAGCAGGGAGTGCCGGGATCCAGTGCAGGGTATAGAGCAGGGAGTGCCGGGATCCAGTGCAGGGTATAGGGGAGGGAGTGCTGGGATCCAGGACAGGGCACGGGGCAGGGAGTGCCGGGCTCCAGCGCAGGGTATAGGGCAGGGAGAGCTGGGTACAGTGCCGGGCTCCAGCATGGGTATGGGGCAGGGAGTGCCGGGCTCCAGCGCAGGGCATGGGGCATGGAGGGCTGGGCTCCAGGTGGGGAGTGACAGAGGTGGGGTGACACTTTCACCTCAGAACAGCTGAGGGGTCAGACCCTGCAGCATGAGGGAGGTGTAGCCGGGCTCTTGCAAGCAGCCAGGGTCCAAGCTAAGGGGCCTTTGCAGCTCCGGCCTCTCTCTTGCACATCCAGCCAGTAGGCACCCACCAGCACCTGCACCCCCACTGCCAGCTCCACCCTCGCTCCCGCCAGCTTCGGGGGCACAACCAGTGCCAGATCACTGCTGCATGCGTCCGGTCCTTCCCGGCATGCAGAGAGGGCGGAGGACGTCACTACCTCGGCCAGCAGCTCTGGGACTTGCAGGAGTGGGTAGCAAGGCTTTGTGGTCTGGGGGCCAGACAAGATGATCACCCAGGGCAGGGGGGCTGTTAACGCTTGCGATCCCTTTCCCCTGCTTCTGGGCCACGCTGCAGGGACTGCCCAGAGAGCTCTGCTGTCTGCAGCCAGGCACATCTGGGCGCCCAGTCCCAGACACGGACAGAGGCATCAAGGCAGGTTTATTTCCAGATCCGCGGGAGCGGTAGGGAATGTCTCCAGCGGGCGGATGCTACAGAAGCAAAGCTGGGGAGGGCTGAAATTCCCAGAGGCAGCCAGCCAGCCAGTCGGGCTGTGTACGGTGTGTCCCAGGCCCTGCGGGTGTGTGCGTAACCAGCAAGGGCGGGCTTTCGCAGCCGGCTACGAACGAGCCCCCCTTGCCACCCGCTAGCCCACGGGGGTCTGCACTGGTACCTCAATCAGCTCCTCCGTCCACACCTTCCTGTCCATCTTTAGGCTCCGCACTTTGGTGATGCTCGGCCCCAGCCCCCGATGTTCCCCTGGCAAGCAAAAGCAAACGTCTCATTAGAAAGCAGCACTGGTGGTGGCCCAGCAGTGGCTCTGCTCAGGGCCTGGGGCCAGTCACTGCGCCTCCCTGCCTCAGTTTCCCCATCTCCGCTACGGTGAGGCACAGCTCTGCCAGAAGTCTCCGCTCTACCCCAGGGGGGCCCTCTTTGGGCAGCAGAGGACACGTCAGTCTCCATGGGCTTTCCCAACCAGTGCCACTTGTGCCAGTGGTTTTATGGGGTCAACAACCGCCAGACAATCACAGCTAGCAGAGACGGGCCGGCACCTGCAGTGCTGGGCCACCTCCAGCCCATCACATTGGCCACTGGGAAGTGGGCTGAGGCCAACCTTGGCCGATAGGCACAGCTCTGCCAGAAGTGCCCCTTGTGGAGGGGCAGCGTATGCGGGCCAAGGGAGTTGAAGGACTTTAGCTAAGCCATCTCAAACACTCGGCTGCCAGCCGAACTGTGTCTCCGCCGGGGTAGGGGGCAGCTAGCCCAGCTGTGTCAGTGAGGGGAGTGGTCTGTTTCACAGGCCAGTCTGGCAAGGCTGGCAAGACCGAGGAGCTGGGGCATGCTCAGGAACAGACTCTGATACAGGGCGCCTCAGGCTCCGTGTGTCTGCCAGGCGGCTCAGTGAAATCCCACTGCGGCTCTGCAGCCCCCCAGTGAAACATGCTTGGGCAAAGAGCAGCCTCGTCCGGACCTGGCTGCAGCTGCCCCTGCACGGATCCTGCATTTCCGTTTCTGAGTTAGGAAGAACGTCTCCTGGAGCAGGAAATTCCATGGGTGTCCACTCGGGGGGAAGGGAGCATGGTTCCTGAGCCTGCCTCCGAAACGGCTGAGGGGGCACTGCTCTGCCCTAGCCCAGCAATCCCCAAGGAGGGCAGAAGGACCAGCCCGGTCTGCGAGATGGGGGAAAAAGGGCCTTGGAGAGGCCAAGCCGGGGGCCACCGCTGAAGCCAGAGATGTGCCATGCTCTAAGCCGCCAGCCCCAACCTCCATCCCAATCCCCATGGCTCGCACCCCCTGGTCTCGGCCGATACCTGCGCATCTCTTGCAAATGACGACACAAAGGTTGACGGAGGCCCAGTCGGGGTTGGGCGACCCACAGTCGGCGCAGAACCGGTTTGCCTCCACCGACCAGATCTTCTCCGCCACCTCCGAGTTGGAGAGGGCCTCGGCGATGGATTGCTGCATGGCCTCCACCCACTCGTCCTTCTCCTGGTCCGAGTCCGCCCAGAAGCTGAGAGCCAGCAGAGAGCGGGGCTGGAGTGAGACACATGTTGTACAGGGGTGGGGGAAGGAACAGCGCCCTTGGGGCACGGCGCCTAGGGCCCCCCTCACCTGAAAATCTTGTAAGGCGTCGTCAGATCGAACCCCCTCCTGTCCACGTCCTTCACGTTCCCCACGTTCATCTCGATGTAAGTGATGCCGATCCCCTGCCGGAAATCCTGATGGGGTGAGAAAGCCAGGACGGGGTTAGAGATCAGCAGTACAGGACACAGCAGTATGGGACTCCCCTCCTGCCCTCCAGAGTCAGGACAGCCGTTCCGCATGGGGGAGCGAAGCAGCAAGCTGAAAGGGAGCGGAGACAAACTCCAGCCCTGCACCCCCAGCACCAAGGAACCTCCGGGAACCCCACCCCACTCCACGGTCAGCGTTCCCTGTAACCGAGCACTCGAGCGACCACCCAGGAGAGATTCAAATGCCGCCCAGCTGATTAGCAATGTGCCCACAGCACGCACAGCTAACAGCATGTGTTTCTCCTGGTGGTGCACATCCGCACATGCCTCGGTGCACAAAACACAATTTATTCCACACACGGATGGCAAATGTAGAGGGCATATTGTTCAGGGTGCAAGTGCCCAGTGTTGGTAGTGCCACGGTTGCCTATGGGACCCATGAGCCCTGCAGTTGTCATGGTAACTTGGCCTGCACAGATCTCCTCACTGGGAGCTCAACTATGGCAAAGCACACGGACCTTTCTGAATAGTCCACTCTGTGGGTGGGAAGAGGTGCAGCCGGGAGAGAGACGGACCGACTGGGGACACAAGCAAGGCCGGTGGGTGTAACTCAAGCCCTGGTTAAGATCGCGCCTGGCAAATGAGCAGTGTGGGGCTGGAAATCAATGTCGGGAATGAGGCTGGACGGCTGGGCAGTGGGCAGTACAAGGAGTGGGTGGGCCTGTCTGCCCAGCACCCCCTTCTGAGGTTCTGCAAAAGAACAGACATCTGGGGGCAAATTAGCAGCAGCAGCAGCTGTCTCTCAACAGCCACTGGAGTGAACTTTATCCTCCTGACTGCCACTCCCATCACCTCCAGGATCTATCGCTGCGCCAGTGGGCCATGGCTGACCTGACCCCAGAGAGGTCCTGACCACAGCAGGCCAACCACCCTATGGGATGTGTGATTTTGTCCATCCTCCCCCGGGGGTCTCTTCCTTCCTCCCTTTCTTTCTTCTCTCTGCTTTTAAATGCTGCCTGAGCAGAGCCAGGGTTAGGCAGCCAAGCCTGTGTTCTTGGCAACGCAGCCTGGCACCAGGAAGAGGCAGGTAAAAGCACTGCCATGCACAGCCCGACAAGGGTACCCGACCGCAGGCATGTACTGGGCCTGTGTCCTTCCAGCGCCACCAGAGACAGAAGAACATAAGACCATAACAACGGCCATACTAGGTCAGAACAAAGGTCCATCTAGCCCAGTATCCTGTCTGCCGACAGTGGCCAGCACCAGGTGCCCCACAGGGGGTGGACCTAAGACAATGATCAAGCGATTTGTCTCGTGCCATCCATCTCCAGCCTCTGACAAACAGAGGCCAAGGACACCATTTTATCCCCTGGCTAATAGCCTTTTATGGACCTAACCTCCATGAAATTATCTAGCTTCGCTTTAAACTCTATTATAGTCCTAGCCTTCACAGCCTCCTGTGGCAAGGAGTTCCACAGGTTGACTATGTGCTGTGTGAAGAAGAACTTTCTTTTATTAGTTTGAAGCCTGCTACCCATTCATTTCATTTGGTGTCCTCTAGTCCTTCTATTATGGGAACTAATAAAGAACTTTTCTTTATGCACCCTCTCCACAACACTCATGATTTTATAGACCCCCCTCAGTCTCCTCTTTTCTAAGCTGAGAAGTCCCAGTCGCTTTAGTCTCTCTTCATATGGGACCCGTTCCAAACCCCTCATCATTTTTGTCAGAAAAGGGAAACTGACAGAAGCTGCATTTTCTCTCCTGCTTGTTTCTCTTCCGTTTTGGGGGTGTTTCTCTTAGGAAACAGGACTGGACTGTACCGCCAGCGGTGCCAGGCCATCTCAGCTGACTCTTCCCCACCCCCCCTATTATATCTCTGATACCATCTCAGAAGCCGGGCAAACAAGCAGGTGTTCCTTATAAAAACCTTTTACAGCTCCAAGGAAAGGGAAGAAGGCTGTTGCAAGGGAAGTCTTTCTGAATAGTTTGCATTTCCAGTGCTTTCACTGTTCATCCTTCTGTTCTCTACCTTGACCTGAAGGTTACAAAGGACTTTAAATGGTGCGTTTGCCATGGAAAGCAGCAGGAAGCCCTTGAGAGATGCCCTGGCTTCCGGAGTACGCTCCACAGGGCTGACCTTCGCTGGGTCAGGCCCCAGGGCTGCATGGAGGTTTCCCGTATATTGAAAGCGGCGCTCTGGGGCCAGCTGGGCACGGGAGCCTGCTCTGAGGCTTGTTCCACCCTCCGATGCAAAGATTCCTTGAAAGCCAACTCCAGAGCAGGCAAAATGAATAGGAGTGAACAGGGTGACCTAAAGAGTCATTCTTCCTCTCTACTCAGCGCTGATGAGGCCTCAACTGGAGTACTGTGTCCAGTTCTGGGCACCACATTTTAGGAAAGATGCGGCCAATTTGGAGAAGGTCCGGAGAAGAGCAACAAAAATGTTTAAAGGCCTGGAAAACATGGCCCATGAGCCCCGGCCTACACTAGGGAGTTATTTTGAAACAGCCCCCCTTATTTCGAAATCATATGCAGAGCGTCCACACTACTAAGCCCGTTATTTTGAAAGAACAGGCTGGTTATTTCGGAATATGTACTCCCATTTTCCTCGGGGAATAAGCGTATGTCAAAAAAGTTATTTTGGGTGTTATTATTTCGAATTTAGTTATTTCAAAATAATTTCCTAGTGTAGACATGCCCTGAGGGAAGACTGAAAGAACTGGGTTTGTTTAGTCTAGAAAAGAGAAGACGGAGAGGAGACTTTATAGCAGCTTGTGACGGCGCGTTGGGGGTCCCCCGTCTCCTGCACCCCGAAATGGCACAAACAGACTGCACCAGCCGGTGGAATAGAGGAAGTTTATTGCCTCTCCAGGATACAGCACAGCACAGATGTAATCTGGTCACAGAGCTGGGCTAGGATGCCTCAGGCCCCCTTGAGATGGGGGAGACTGGGCCCCTAAACTCCAGCCCCTTTCCCTAGGCTGTCTCCTCCATGCTCCCAGACAGCCAGCCACTAACTAACTCTCTTCCAGCCCTGCCCCCCAGCCAGGGCAGCATTCCACCTTCCTTTGTTCCTCTCCATGGGGGGTGTCTGGCCAGACTGGTTTCCATAGTGACTCATCCTGTTTTGCTGGGTCGTGGTACCCACGGCAGCCAGTGGGGGTTACCCCAGAGCCAGCAGCATAGAAACCAGCCAGGTACCCCCCACTACGTCACACAGCTTTCAAGCACCTAAAAGATTATTTCAAGGAGGAGGGAAGAAAAATGATTCTCCTTAACCTCAGAGGCTGGGACAAGAAGCACTGGGGTTAAACTGCAGCAAGGGAGGTTTAGGTTGGACATTACGAAAAACTTCCTGTCCGGGTGGTTAAGAACTGGAACAAAATGCCTGAGGAGGTTGTGGAATCTCTGTTGTTGGAGATTTTTATGAGCAATTTAAACAAACTCCTGTCAGGGATGGTCTAGATCAGGGTTTCCCAACCTCTGGGTTGGGACCCAAATATGGGTCGCCATTACGTTTCAAAAGGGTCGCCACGTGTCTCCCCAGGTGGCACTGCCTGCCCTCCTCCCCCCGTTTTTGAATTGCCGTGGGTCACCAAGTCTTCCTGAATTGTCAAAATGGGTCCCCATCTGGAAATGGTTGGGAACTGCTGGTCTAGAGAATACTTAGTCCTGCCGCGAGTGCAGAGGACTGGACTAGATGCCCTCTCGAGGTCCTCTCCAGTCCTACAATTCTAAGACAGACGTGAAAACCCGGGAACTCATTGCACTGGGCAGACGCAGATGGCGAGGTCCGTGCCCACTTCTGAGGTGCGGCGTGCAAGGCCTTTGCAAGAGAAGAGAGCACGTCGCCAGACAAGTGTCTCAACCCCTCCCCTCAACGGGGGATTGGACTCGCTTCCCATAGAAGAAGCCCTAACCCAGCAGTTAAGTCAATACTAGCGGAACATTCGTGCCTCAAAGCGACGGGAAAATCCATCGTCCTCGCTAATCCATCGCTAAGCATGCTCTGTGCACCAAACCCCAAGCCCTGATTAAATCCACGCAACGTTGGACAGTGAGCACCGGATTACGTTTACACCTCGGAGTCTTTGGGCCCACACGGCCCATCTGAACCAACACCAGTGTGAGCACCGGGGGCTGTGTCGGACTCCACGCTGAGGAGTCCCAACCCAAATGCAGATTTCCCCAAGGTACAGAAGTCTGGATCAGACCCATCCCCAAATCCTACCCGGAGCAGATGTGCCAAAGCAGCCTAGGGTCTCGGAGCGGGACAGGGATTGCCATGGGCAGGGCACAGGACTTCAGCCCCTGCCCGCAGAGACCACAGTCTGCAGAGTTCTTTCAAGTCCTGCTGGAGGGAACACTTCCCTCCTGCGGAGACAGGCGGAGGGAAGAGGGGGAGAGCACACCAGCAGGGGCACCACAAATGGCCACGTCACACGCCCACCTCCAGCGCAACTCGCCCTCAGTGTCCCTCTCCGCCCTGTGGGACTAAACCCCCCCCTCCCAGCACTTCTGTGGAGGATGGGGGGGGGGAGTATGGGGCTTACCGGGCTGGACCAGAGAGACAGGTTCATTTCCTGCTCTGCTCCGACTCCCTGTGGGATTTCTGGCACAGCCCTTCATCCACCTCGGGGGTGGGGAACATATGGCCTCGGGGCCAGATTCAGCCCCCTGCTAGCCTGGATCCAATCCCCGAGGCTCCTGTACCTTCCCTTCCGCCCAGACCCCATAGCCCAAGCCTGTTTCCCCGCAACCCTCTCCCACACACTGAACCCCTCATTTTTGAGGGGAGCCTATGGAGGGGCCAGAAAAATCAACTAGCCTGGCCCCCCTGAGAGTATCTTTCTGCTTCTCTGTCCCGAGCCACGTCAGTGACTTTTTTTTTGCTTCTCACTTTTTTGCAGCCCGATTGTTCAGTGGGTCAGCGGCCCCCCGATCCAAAAACGGTTCCCACCCGGATCTACCCAGGGCCTACTCTGCCCATGTGTAAAATGAGGTGTCTTCCCCCACGCTCTGCCTGCTTTGTCCCGTTTGAGTGCCTAGGAACGCTCTCCCACCCTGGGAGCGAGCAGCCCCCAGCACAGAGGGGAACCAGCCTCAAGCGCTCGCTGCTCCCATCCCTCCTGCTAACAACAGCCTTGCTCACAAACTCTCTGGGCAGCCATGGGGACAGAGCCCAGAGGGGGCAGGGGCAGGGGAGGAGGGTGGGAGCAAGCAAGGCATAAAGTGAGGCTGGAGGAAGGGAAGAGGGGACAAGGGAGAAAGAACGGCGTGAGGAGCCCTTTCCCCTGCTCCCTGGCAGGAGACAGCCGCTGTGGATACAGACCTCGGCGTTCTTGTACAGGAAAACCTTGTCTCCAGACACCACCACGTACAGCTTGTTCTTAAAGCCCCGCAGCTCCAGGAGGCCGCACTTGTCCACCATGTCCAGGATGCCATTGGCCGGCTGGAAGAGGGATATCCGGTTCAAGCCCCTGAACTTCTGCTCATCCACCATCTGCTGGAAGGTCCTCATCCACTCGTTACGGTCCGCTGTGGGGCAAACAGGGCCCGGGGTCAGCTCGGAGCCTTACACCCGGCCAGAGGAGGGACTCCAAAGCTGGGGCGCACGATGGGCAGAGCCCTCCCCCCCCCACTGGGGACATTTGTGGGAGGCATAAAGGGCGGCAGGAGTGTGGGTTTACAGCTTGGGCCTTTGCTCTGCAGAGCAGCAAGGGCTGGTCGTGGGCTGAGGCGGCTTCCTCGACCCACCAGGCAGGAGAGCATCTCCAGAGCCCCTCTGCTCAGGGATGGGAGTGTTATTAATGGGCACCCAGGAAGGAGCTGCCCCCCGGGCGGGGGATTCAGTCCCTGCCCCCGAAGCTCATAGCTGGTTGGAAAGATGGACCGGACAGCGAGTGACTTGCTGGAAGCAGACGGAGCCAAAGCTCAGCTAAAGGAAGGTGAAGGGGTGGGGATAGCCTGGTGTTGTCCTCTTGGTAGGATTAGCAGGTGGAAGAGGGATTACTGCCGGGGCTGGGGGAGGGAGCCAGAGGGGAATAACCAGCAGCAATGGGAAGAGGAATATCAGCTGGCTCCAGGGGAGTCTCTCCTGCCAGTGGGGTCCGTCAGGGTGTGGAATGGTTTCCCTAGAGGCTGGGAACACCAGCCTGAGCAAGATACAGGAGCAGAGAGCACCCGCACCAGACATCTCCTCAAGGCAGGGAGGGAGAAATAGGAGCAGCAGCTTCCCCTCTCTCTGCTTCCTTCTCCCGCCCACCCAGCTGCCAGCCCCAGGAGCAACACTCCCCGCCCTCACCATCGCTCTCAGCCCGGAAGGCGAAGGTCCTGTGGTTGGTGATCACCTCGAATTTCTGGTCCCCAATGCTGGCCACGCGGGAGATTGAGGACACCGGAATGAAGCGCTTGGAGTAAGTGTCCTGCAGCAGAGAGGGACACAGGTCACACCCCCACACCCAGAGGGGAATCGACCCCATGGAAAAACCCATGCGCCCTAGCCCTCACGGTCATGACTTGTCAACTACCAGCCCCATACCACAGAGGGGCTGCTGCATTCTGTTCACCACAGTCCCTCTGGCAATTTCTGCTGGACAGCGTCTCCTCACCCACGTCCCAGCGTGCTGTTAAACTGTTATTGCCTCCACCCCAGAGGTGGCTGTATTTCACATCAACTTTGATGGTATGTGGAACCTTCAATGAGTGTAGGCCAATGAGAAGGCCTGGACTGTGCCAATCCTGGACTGACTAGGAGACAAGTACACCACTGATGGAGGTGCACATCACCCTGGTTCTGAAGGGGTCTCCCTTCCACATACCAGCCAGGCTGAAGCCTGCTTAGCTTCTGAGACCTCACACATGGCCCAGCATGGAGTGCAAGTTATTATGACTCTGGACTTGTTGCAGAGGGGGACTTGAACCAGAAGAAAAGGTCCCCATCCCTCAGACACTGGGGGCAGGTCCAACCCAAACATCGCACCTCCGCCCCAACCGGGGTGGCAGATACCAAAGCCAAACTATCTAGATTAGGGATCTCCACAGCCCTGCAACTGCAGTATCCAAGCACCACACAACCTGTCAAGCATTTCTCCTCCACACAGCAGGGCGGGGCTGGTATTCCCATTGGACAGATGGTGAAACTGAGGCCCAGAGAGGCTAAGTGACTGGCCCGAGGTCACACAGAAAGTCTGCAGCAAAACAGGGCACTGACCCTCCCCCCAGGTCTCTCAAGAGCCAGGCTAACGCCCAACCCACCGGCCTAGCCTTTCCCTTCCCCGCTCACCTTTTCACTGTCAAAGTATCGGAGGTAGTCAGCGTCAAGCTTCACCCAGCGCTTCTGGTAGATGTAGGAACTGTAACGGGATGGGAAAGGCTGGTTAGCCGTGGCGAGCTAGCAGTGCCAGAGGGGAATGCAGAGGCTCCTGCTGCTCCCTTAGCCAGCCAAGCCCAAAGAGGTAAGAGAACAGACGCTTTATAAACAGGCCCTGGGGTGGTTTTTCTTATGAGCTCATCTGCTCCAAAGCACTTAGAGCGTAACCCGAGGGCTAGACCAGAGATGGACAAAAGGGCCTCCAATTAGGGCCTGGGGGCGGGGGAGCGTGCAAAACTTCCTCCCGCCCTGTGAAGCGCCAGGTACTGCTCGCAGGGCGGGAGGAGATGTCACACGCTCCCCCGCCCCCAAGCCCTGATTGGCCTGGGAGTGGGAGGCGCGTGTGAAGTTTCCATCGACCTCCCCCCGGTCCTGCAAGGAGCGCACGGTACTTCAAAGTGCCAATCAGGGGGCTGGGGGGCGGGGCAGTGTGTGAAGCCTCTTCCCGCCCTGCCAGGGGCATGGGTGCCTAGTGTGAAGGGGGGACTAGAAGGGGGGGAGGCAAAGAACCACTGTCTTATACAGTTATGGTCTAGGGGTGGAGAAGCGCAGAAGCATTCTGGCCACGCCCCTTCCAGATTAGGCACCGCCCCTTCCAGCCCTGCCCAGGGGCCGGCCAAAAATTATTGCCCACCCCTGGGCTAGACGGATACAGTCCCATGGATACACATTTTACAGACACGCAGACATCGGCTTTTGCTGCTTTATATTATATAGCCCAGCTCCAGGGACATGCTCCATGAGATTCAGGGCCAACTTTCCCTGTGGACACTGTATGCGGTGGGCTTTCTTGCACCTTCCTCTTGGCACCCTCTGAAACAGGAGGCTGCCTAGACAGGCCAGCCTCTATCAACACAGCAGCTGCTGGGATCCCACCAGCAGTAAAATATTTACCTCACTGGGTCTGATCTCATGATAATTATGGAAATAAGTAACTCCCAGTGCCTCTGCATTGGCCACATTAATCATTAATATGGGAACTCACAGACACACACGTACACACCACACACTTCCTCCTCTGCAGGAAAAATCCAGTCTCAAAACACACACCCCAGGCTAGTTACTAGGGCCTGGTCTACACTAAACCAATTGTATCAGCTTAACTGTGCTGCTCAGGGCTGTGAAAAATCCACACCCATGAGTTCAGCTGGCCTCAGTCCGTATGTTGACAGCCTTGGGTGGATGGAAAAATTCTTCTGTCACCTAGCTACTGCCTTCGGGGAGGTGGATTAACTGTGCCTAGGGGAGAACCCTTCCAGACTGTGGCTGGGCAGCTGCAGCATTTCAAGCACAGAGAAGCCCTCAGCCAAGCAAAGACAACAGAAAGCCTGCCATTGTCCGGTGCCTGCAGTCCTAGGTCAGCAAGGCACTTCATCCTGTATGGTCCCTTAGAACAGCGGCTCTCAGCCTTCCTGGACTCCTGTGCCCCTTCCAGGAGTCTGATTTGCCTTATGCACCCCAAGTGTCTCCGCGCTTTAAAACTACTTGTTGACTACATCAGACATCAAAACACAAGCGTCAGAGCAGACTGTAACTGAGCAATTGCTGACTCTCTCATTTTTGCCATACACATGAAATAAATCAAGGGGAATACAAATATTGTTCTTACATTTCAGTGTATAGCCTATGACAGGCATATAACCAAGTCATTGTATGAAAGTTTAGCTGGTACTAGTGACATCACTAGTGCTTTTGATATAGCCTATTGCAGCACGAAGCAAATCGCTAGATGAGTCGGTGTGTCCCCTTGGGAGACCTCTGAGCAGCCCCAGGTGGAGCATATTCCTGGTTGAGAACCACTGCCTTACAATGCATGTTAACGCCTTACTTCCCCCCGACTTGATTCACCTCATACACAAAGGCTATGTCTACACTACGTGCTGCTTGCGCAAGAAGCCTTTTGTGCAAGAGTTTTTGCGCAAAAATGTCTTGCGCAAGAGCACGTCCACACCTCAAAGCCCATGGCAAAAGCCATGGGCTTTTGTTCAAGAGAGCATCCACACTGCATGGACACTCTGGCCATCAGAGCTTTCTTGCGCAATTCACAGAATGGCCATCAGAGCACCTGTCTTTTCCCCATAGAGGTTTCTTGCACAAGAAACCCCTCTGAAGCATCCACACTTGCCTATTTGCACAAGAACTCTTGTGCAAAAGGGAGTTATGCCTCGTAAAAGGAGGTTTACCTACGGTGGAGAAAGCCCTCTGTTCTGCCATTTTACTCTTGATTTCCTTGCGCAAAAGCACATTTGAGGTGTGGTCGCTCCACAGGTTTTTGCACAAAAACCTTGCAGTGTAGACGTAGCCAAACAGCTTCTTTCTTATATACACCTCTCCGTCTGTAACTTCCACTCCAATTCATCTGATGAAGCGGGTTTTACCCAGGGAAGCTTATGCCCTAATAAGTCTACACTACCAGATTATTTCAAAATAATCACTCCCGAAATGGCTATTTCAAAATAAGCTTATTCCTTTTCACAAGCAAGAGTTGTTATTTCGAAGTGACAGGCTTGGTTGTGTGGACGCTCGCCTTATTATTTCAAAATAACTCCCCAGCATAGACATGGCCTCTGGTGCCACAGGACTCCTCGTTTTTCCGTATGCTCAGCCGCCTATCCCAGCTTGATTCTTGCTGTGACACCCCCAGTTCCCCTCCCGCCCCTGAAGAGCTCTGTATGGCTCAAAAGCTTGTCCATCGCACCGAGAAGCTGCTCCAATAAAAGATATTACCTCACCCTCCTAGTCTTGCTAATATCCTGGGACCAACACAGCTACACTCACCCTCCCTCTCCGCTGCTGAATCCTCCAAGGCCATGAATACGCTGCCACTTATATCGGCCAAACTTACGTCGCTCATCCCACACTCCAGAGCGGCGCCTGTGGCCGTCGGAGTTCTGTGTGTGGCCCAGGAGACATTTTGTTTACCGTTGCCCACATGCAGGGTGGCCAGATGCTGCTGGTTTCCCTCTGTGTCGTTTTTTCCCTACCAGGATTACTAAAGTGACACACACGTAAAGCGAGGGGGGTGTTGATCGCACACAACATGGTGGGAGACACGTGCTCCCTCTGCAGCCAATCACAGCGCTGCTACAGTTCAATCAGCACCCCGCAAATTCTAATACGCAAGCGCAGTCAGCAAAACTCCTCCATCCCAGAAGACTCTCTTGGTTAGGACAATCTTGCAGCCACTGGGCCACTCACGCGGCCCACTCACTAGCCCAGGTTGCCCCTCACGGCTCCAGAGCCACATAAGCTTTGCCAGCATAAGCCCCCGTGTGCACAGCCCTATGTCGAAGCGACCACCAATCACTGCACTGCTTTTATGATGTTGACAGGGCAGCTCTCTCCCGGCGGCATGAGCAATCTCACTGCTGTGAGCCCGCTAGTGTAGCCATGGCCTAATTCAGGCGCATGGGCCTTTAAGAGCAGCGCAGTGACCAGATGATAGAAGCAGCGTGATTTCCCGGCTTCCCATTAACATGCAAAGCAGCCCAGGAGGGCTGCTGGGGAACCAGGAGGAAGTGCAACCCGCCAGCCCTTTGCAAAAGCTCAGCAGAGCTCACTGGTG